GCAGTTAGAGTTTGTCGATACAAAACTCGTTTCGAAAGGTTGATGATGAGGGAAGTAAAATCATACTCTTGTCACAGTTCTTCCGAGAGTACCCGCGCTCAACAGCAGTCGAACGGTAAAGTCGCCGAACACTGGAAGTTTAGTCCGGAGTTCGAATGCCGGCGAATAGGCTTCTTGCATGAACGTTTTCATGTTTTTCCTCATCTATAACGTGCGTATCAGTCAGTTTCCCTTATAAAGTACTCTATGAATAAGGCATCCCTGCTCTTAGGCAGATAGCCCTTCGGCGCTTTGCCATAAACAAATAAAACGAAACCAAAGCCAAAAGCACCCGGAGAATAGATTCTCAGATTTCAGCTTCAGGGTATTTTTTGTCAAAACTAGAATGTCATATAATCCGCGTGTTTGTTTGTACTTCTCAGGTGCTTTGCCTAAATAAAATAATCCAGTGAAACCTTGTAAGAAAAATTGAATAATAATGAAACAAATATTGAAGTCTGAAAATTTCGGAAAGCGATGAAAGAATTTACCATTAAAATGTTTCTTAAATTTAAATTTATATATTTTTGGGTGTGTTGTGAAATAATAATTATAACTAAGCAGGCAAAAGGAAAACTAAGCAAAATAAATGAGAAGGATGGGAAGAAATTATATTGAAATTGTAAAAATTATAAAAATTAAACTGGTGGAAAAAATATGGCAAAAATAAACGTACTTTTAAATATAAGAACATTTTTTTTCCATTGTATATTTTATTGACGAGAACTTATTTATTGACCTAAATTAATAAATTAAGCCCTATATTGTTATGAAATGTACAGGCGCGGTAAGATGGCTTTCGCTCAAAACAGGTTTAGGGTTTCCATAAAATGGCAAAGGAAGGCATGGTTGCCACATTTGGCGAGAAATCGCCCATTTCGCGACAAAATTGGCGATATGCCATAGACGGTTAGAGAACCCTCTGGAACGAATTCTTACCGGTTTAGCCCAGAGTGTTCTCGAACACAAGCCGAAACCTATATAAACCCTGCTGGTCCGCAGTGAATGTGTGCCTCGTCTAGCGAGCCAAGTTGAGTCAGTGAGTGAGTGTGCCTCGAGAGTGCGAGATCGAGTTGACAGCCGGGCAGCGAGTGCCGAGGGGGTCGTCGAGTTCATTGAAGGAGTCTCTTAGTGTATCGCGGTTAGTGCCTCGTTGAGAGAGTGTGCTGAGTTCCGGGAACGACTGAACCGAAGAGTCGGGAGCTGTGCTCTGTGTGTCGTCAAGTGCATCGCGAATTGTAGCGTGGAGAGTTTCGAGAGTACGTGGAGTTCCGAGAGTGCATCGCGAATTGTAGCGTGGAGAGTCTAGAGAGTACGCGGAGTTCCGAGAATGACCGAGCAGAATCGGGAGCTGTACTTTGGTGCTTTGCCGTGAAGCTGTCTTCACCGTTATAGCCTGATAGTGTGAAGGCTGTGTCGCTGATTGTGTCAGCGTGTTTATAGTAGTTCTTCGACGACTGTAACGTGATCTTGGAGCTGTCCTGATTAATATTGGCTAAATAAAGTGTTTTTCGATATTTCATCAAGTAGTGTCGTCATTATTCACTCCAAATCCATACAAACCCTGTACGAACGTGAAGGAAGAAAATAACGCAACAACTGGTGTCAGAAAAGAAAAACGCAACAATATTAATATTATTACGAATTTGGTACATATGTAAATAATTTTAGTAAAACTTTATACGAAATTGCAGGTTTTTTTTTTTTTTTCCCTTGTGCTTTGCATAATGTAATAAGAAACGCTTGAAACAAACGAAGTTCTGTGGGAAAATAAGATTACAGGAGGCAATTCTGTTTAACAGTGTGTATCTATCTCGCTAAATTGGCGAGAAATCGGCAAACTTCTTGACCATTTGGTGACATTTTGTTTCAGTCCCTGTGTCACTATAATTGGTACTTAATTGAATAACTGTAATTTATCACTATGCGTAACTGTAACCGTATTCGGCGCCTAGATGTAACTTTAAACGTACATGCCTTCCAGTAATTTCGAGAAATGGAAGGTACCAGAGATTTCTCGACGGCAGGGAGAAAACTATATAAGATCAGAGAGCATCAATTTCTTACTTGTTTAGTTCAGCGTGAATTCAGAGTATTGAAAGACCTCCGTAAGAGTTAAAGAATATAAACCTTTTTAGATGAGATTTTGCATTACGCTGTGTTTAAAGTTCTGCATTTGATGCGTAACTATTGATTGTACTCAGAAGTGACACTCAGAAGAGCTGTACGAGCATCTTTGTGGAAAATTCCATAATTGTTTCCAGAAAAGAAAGTTGAAGAAAAAGAATCTTTGTGGAAAGTTTTTCTTTTGAGTAAAAGTAAATTTTATCAAGCTGTTATCGGTTCAGTGTGCATTCACTCTATTACGAACCCGTACGCACTCAACAATCTAATTTATAGCTTTTCTGTAGCATTTGTTTAAAATCAAATTTAAAATCAAAACTATATCATTTAACATTTGTATAAAAATTGTCATGCATAGCTTTCTTTGTAGAGGATTTTGTCTTTGTGTAGGAACTTTTATTTTCGGAGGCGCTAAAAAACGTTTGAACATTTATTTATTTAGTATATTGGTTAATTTTAAGTGTACGAAAAAAAAAAAAAAACTGCAGAAAAACAGCTACTATCGTAAGGAAGGAGGAAAAAAAAAGAAAATAAAGTATATAGAGAATCTTGCAACCTTGTATGTCGCTAAACTTTTTAGTTTACATTTGATTTTAATTTTAATTTTAAACTATAGTATGCACGAAAAGTAGAATCTGTTTATTACCCTGTCCCTACCTTACGTCCCTACCTTTCGTCGATACAGGTACTGGAAAATTATTTTATTTATGATATTCGCAGTATATAATAATTAGAGTGGAAAAATGTGTTTGTCAACGAGTTAACTTTTTTTTTCACTTCAGCGGCTGTAGAAGAAGGTTTTGTATTTAAATCGAAACTATACTGCAAATTTATGAATATTTCGCTAAGTCTTTTTGCTTTAACCCCTCCAGTAATCTATTTCGAGTATTATTTTAGCTCAAAGAAATTCAGATGAAACGGCTTTTTCAATGATTCGTTTTACTATGCTAATGATCAACTCCCATTTAAAATATCAAAGGAAAGCGTCAATTCACCCAATATATCGTTATTTGGCAGAAATTCGTTAACTATTATTTAAACTTAGATTTGAATAATTGTGTAAAAGTTGTCTATGCATGTCTAGGAAGACTGACATGGTCTGTAGATTCTTGCATACAGGTTTTCTTAAAAACAAATATCAATCTTAGGTTTATTTTTTCCCTAATTTTGAAAAATATTTTCTTGTTAGTATAAGTAATGCACTTTTTTATTTCGTGAAGAAATGTTTTCTTTCGTTTAATCAACTAGCATAATCTGTATTAGCATAACCTGTACATTAAAAAAACTGTTGTCTTGGAAAGTAAAGGATATTTATTTAGAATGGGATTAACATTACTAATGTAAAATGTTTAGAATGGGATTAACATTACTAATGTAACTTTACTTAATTTTTAAGTAAAGCTTAACTTACTAAGAAAAATTAAGTCCTGTACCGCTAAAAACTAGCACATCAGGCATGAAAGCAAGATCAGAAGCCATTATACTAATAATAATACATAGTTTCAGCGTACACACACAAAATAAAAGAATAAATTTACAAATAAGAAAAATGCATAACATAAACAAGCAAACTCTGCAAAACACACTCTGCAAAACGGTGTACAGCAAAACAAAATGTAGGGTTACTGTTCTTTCTGGAAACTAAAGTTTAACATCCTATAAGTATAGATCCTACACTAGACTTAATAACGAATTACGTCTACTCAACCGTCTAAACAAACAGAAAAGAAGATTTAAAATGATCTTTTTTATTTAATCCAAACTGAACATTGACACCTCACATTATTGAGTGATACAGACAATAATCCATCATTTGTGGCTATTTAAATTAAGGAATAACAGACAATTAAATTCAAATACTTTTAATGTAATAAAACTACACATTCACTAGACAAAGCTGTCTCAGTTATTTTACCGGTGTATAAGTTTAAAGCCGGAATATCACTTTTAAACAAAACTGGCTTATGATATTGGCAGCAGACATGATTGTCAGAAGCTGTCTCCTTCTAAGATTCAAAACCCTTAGTCAGTCAGCCTATACAGTCAAAGCCAATTTGCAATCTGGCGAGGAGTGCAAAAGGAAGAAATTATATGGAAGATCAATCATAACAATTGGTTAATTAATATAAGATGCGTTAGAAAAGTTAGGAGTAAATATTCTTGATCATTACATGTATTTAATAATATCATCTGCCTGAGAAATGAACTCCAGTAATATATTTATACAAGTACGCTATTTGGAGTTGTAAATAATAGTTTATTGTTATTAGAAGAGAATTTACTGAAGAACAGTTTTATATATAGCAGTGTCATTGGACATTCCCCAAATATAATGATTTATATCTGTCTCTTCCTTTAGTGTTCCACATTTACATTGTACATTCAGTTTGAAGAAACGATATCGTGGAAACTTTACATGTTCTATATCAGCCTGAAGATAAAAGATAAAATTGGAAGCGATAAAAAGTTTACCATGTTTTTTAAAAAAGAGCAAGTACGATGTCGAATAATGATGTAATTCAAACGTAATTTGCTTCTCAGATATGTTTGCTGACTACTATTGCTGCATTTTTCACTGTTGCGATATTCATTTCAACATATGTTATTCCTATCATGAAACATGTTCTTTCTCAATGAAGACTGACTAAATGACATTAAAAAAAAGGCTATTTGTTCCACGCCTTTAATAAATACAATTTTAAGCAATTAGTTAGAAAATTGGTCAAAGCGTCTGATGTACCAACCCCACAGGCTGTTGTTATATTTACAGCATGCACAATGGAAAACAATTTCTTTCTTAGTTTTTCTGGCTGCAAATCTTTTCATTTCTTTTTCAGGTCATCCGAAGCCCTGGGGCTGCGGGACGAGAACTTTTGTTCTTTGAAGTCGAGAGAGAAGGTAGGAATTATACTTCCTAAGACTTTGCTTGGCTTTCACCGCTACCAAGCAACAACAAAAGATGTTGATGCAATGATACAAGTTCGAATTAATGCTATGGGAGGAGCTGCGAAGAGTGCTAGAAAATTTATCCCTTTGGGCATATAATTTGGAAAAGGAAGGTCTTTCGAAAACGTTCAAGACATTAACTACCTTCTCGCGGGATTTATGTTTTAAAAAAAATGTGCAATAAATAAGCTGCTATAGACCTGAAATTGCTAATGCACTTTTAACGTACTATTTTGTGTGAATGGTTCAAAAATTACGAAAGAGTTTGGCCCTAATTCAAGTGTACCAAATTACATACTTTTATTGAATTCATGTAGGCCGAAAAAGTCGGTATTTATTTTGACTGAAATGGAATTTATGCCTTTTTAAAAGCATTAAAAGAGTGAAATATTACATTTTTGTTTATAACTCATTAGCAACAGTGCTTTAAATCAGCCAGAGCTTAGCTCTAGTAATTTTCAGCTTTTGACCAGCTGGTCTTCACTAAAGTTCAAATGAGATGAGCTCCGGTACTTTTTTTTTTTTTAATTTTTTTAATGAAATGTTTTAATTAGAAGCGTACCATATGGTCTTCAAATTAATTTTCTTTTATATTTTGTCTTAAAATTATCAGTGCACTCAATTGTTTCATACCAACTAACCACCTCTGACCATTTTTTTCTGAGAATATAAATATTAATATTAAATATTATTCTATAAGACGGTGGTTGCCTTAAAGAAGGTTTATCGTAATCACAATTCCATTTGCTTTAATTTAATTTAATTTTTATGATTTTAATTTTTATGTATTATCAGCCATTTTGTTTGTTTATTTATTGTTGTTTATAAATTCATTAATTAGTATATTAGCGTTTACTACTCTACCATTTATTTATTACATTTAATTTGCATTTTATTTTACTTCAATTACTCATTATTTATTGTTTTGATTATTTTTGAATATTTTTTTTTCACATAACTGACGCAGGGTTCTGGCACTTTTATTTTTAAAAATTAAGTCTTATTATAGCAGTTTGAGTTGAATAACAATGAAGATTTATGCTAGAAAAAAAAAAAAGACATTTTCGACGCGAAAATAATTGCCTTAAAGTTTTATTTATCTATTACATAAGAAACTGCGGCAAGGAAGAAGGAAATTGAAATTTAAACATTTATTCTGAACCTGATTTATTTTTACCGTGCTTTAGCACATGACATTTATTGTATTACCTAAAACTGAATTCATACATTGAAACCTCTCAAGGCGTCCACTTCCATAAATTATCATCTATGAAGGTGACCAATAATATAAATAAACTTCGGTTGAACGTCAACTCTCTAAAAATGACCGAATTCATCTTAGCGAACTTTCATTGTAATTCTGAAAACTGGTGCGTAAAGGTGCACATGCAAAATTTGCGTAATAAATCAGATGCCTTTATGGAGAAGCGTATTAAAGTTTATTTTATAGCTAGAGAGAAAATTGATAATCAAATTAGAGACAGACCACATTTTACAGCACTAATTTACATTCTCTGCATTTGGTACTCTTCCTTATTCCATTTAACGTGTTATTACAAAATAATGAAAACTAGATCACTATGGGCTTACAAAAAAGTTTAAAATGGTTAGAAAAGTATGTCATCTGCTACAGTCATAGATAAAAAGTGCATTTCATTACAACGTATCGATTTCATGTTCATTTCTCGGAAAATGAAATGAATTCAGCTGCTCTGCAGTATGCAATGAATGAACTTCTGACAGAGAAGTTAGCCTTATAGGGAGAATCTCTTGCCTGGAAAGAGAATACTCTGAATCGGTGCAACCAGTACTAGTCTTCATCAGACTGACAGAAACAGGTCTTAGTGTGAAGAATGAAACACGTGTTAGTTTGGGAGGGGGGAAGAGGTAATTTTTTTTTTTATGCTATTGTGCAAAAGAGGATCAAAAGCGTGATATGTTTCTAAAGTAATTGCAGCAGATGTTAAAAAACAAAGCGTTATAATTTCTTAAAACTTCTTTCTGGAGCTCTCGGAAAGAGTAAAATGTGAACATTTTCATAACAATGCCTATGGCCAGTTTTAATAGGTAATTTTCGAACACTAATCGAGGACAAAATAATAAATAAATAAAAGAAAGAAAAAGTCTTACACGTCAATTTTTTATTTCAAAGAGTTACAAGTTCAAAATTATTATTTCATCAACGTACAACAAGAGCTAATAAATTAGCTAGGCACTCTAAAGCCATTACATTCTAAAAAAAATTGTTTTTAAACAGTGGGCGTTTTTTAATTAAATAATGAATATGTAAATGCATTTATTATTCTTTCTTATTACATTATCTTCTTTTAAGATATCTTTTTCTCCCTTCATTTTTTTTCCAGCTATATGCAAATAGATTATATAAAATGCAATTACAGTGAATTCTCTCGAAGTGACCATTTCTTAAATTGACCAGTATTTCAGAAAGTACAAATAAACTTAGCAATAAACATCACCTTTTTAAGAAGACCACTCGTTCAGAAGAATAAAATTATTTGGGAAAACGGACCGTCCTCTTACAGAGAGTTTAGTGTATATCCAAAGGAGTTAGGCAAGCTCTGTTCCAAATTAGGACAAAAACCTTCCTTTGACGATCATCAACGGTTCTAGCTGACATCGGTCTTCTGTAAAGATAATTTTTCTTGGTGATGTTCCATGCCGAGTTCCATTTATGTTTTAAGAAATAATGGTAACTTTTACCGGTGGCCATCTACGGAAGGTGAGCGTTGTGGGGCCATCTATGGAAGGTAAGCCAGTGTATTACATTTTACATGATATCTACTCGTAGTGATCATTTTTCTGACAATTTTCGTTTTCCTTTGCTCACTGACTGAATTTGTCGCACCATTCAGCAAGACCATTTTCTGATTTACAACAAACTTCCAAATATTCATATCAGTTGATTTCTTTTTAAGTGTCCCAACAATACTCATTATGCAAAATATAGCAAATATATTCAATGAGGTGTGCAGAATTTAGGAAGCTTTTAACCCATTAACCGCCAAAACTACAAGGAATGTTTCTTTTCTCATGAAAATAATACCAAATATTAAATTTACATTGAAAATAAAAAAAAAAAAAATGCTCTTACCTGTGGAAAAAGCGAGTGTTGCGTTCGCGCAACGTCAGCGGAATAAGACTACGGATGTTTAGTGAGTAGGATTGTTCTCGTGTTTTTTTTTTTTTTTTTTTTTTTTTGAGTGGAGCGCAGGTTTACTTTTTAGCTGTATAACGTTTTATAAACCTACAAATCACTTTACTTGTAATTAATTTAATATTAAATATACATTGTTTCTTTTACAAATACAGATTATTTCATTTGAAAGTTTCAAGCATGAAACCTTGATTACAATCATGATGTAAAGCTACATTACATACTTTGCATCTATAAACATCTGGCTATGTACTCTTTACAACAAGTCTTTCGTATCAACGACTTACGATAAAATGTCTACCATCTCCATGTAATGGTTTTTGAATGCTGAATTTACTAGGTCTTCCTGTTGCTGATCTATTTCTGGCTAATTCTACACTCTCAATAGGAGTTTGCAAAAGGAATAATGCATTCTCGCGTCTGAAATCTAAAACAGACTTTATATTTCCAGTACTAAAAAGTGGTGATATTTAGTAAGTTTAGATACGGTCTCACCTCATATAATTTATCAGTATTGTCAATTTGACTATTGTCAAATGCAAATTCTGCTTCATATTCCTGTACTGCAAATGTGATATCAATTCTGTACAACAGAACAGAAATGTCCTTATCAAAAGACCAATACATTTTTTTCTTGAGGTAAAGAATGATATCCTGTAAGTAATAATATTCCAATAAAGCTTCTCATTAGGCTTCAGCTGCAATATGTTTTTTTTGGGCATTTTTTTTTTGAGCGTATATATTTTTGTCTGTTCACGAAAAAAGTAAATGTCTAAACCAAAAGAAAATCGAAAATCTGTGCACAGTTTTACCTTGGTTTTGTCTTTTATAATTTCTGTCTATCTCTTTCTTCTGTTCTTCTGAGACATAACTAACAGTTCCTTTTTTATCCACTTCAAGATTTCGTCTTCTGCTTTTTAAACTTTTTAGTATGACTATAACTGCTTTTAGAAGGCTGAACTTACTTCTTACGTGAATTTCAATTCCCCAGCAGTATCATTTGGTAAAATATCATTATCATTATTTAAAAACATTGCCATTTTCTTTCTTCTTCGTCATAACCTCTGCATTTCTGGGGGAACAACAACATATCACTTTCATTCTGGTCATTATTAACATTATCATCACTGTTTCTTCATCAAAAAATCTTTGAAGGGCTTCTTCTAATGTAAGATACCTCGTTCTAGGCTTTTTAAACAACCAGAACATGAACCAGAACATCGAAGGACGAGTGAAGAAGGAGAATTGACTACCCGTTTCCTGCTGACATTGCGTCAAAGCAACACCTGTTTTCCCTCCCTTCCCAACACAAATATAAACATCTGACTGAGTAATGTTCTGATAAACGGTGACCTTAACTAAAAACATCACTCATAAAGACGGCGATTCTTTCGTAAATGTTTCAGCAAAAAACCGTCGAAAATTTTGCTTAAATTTTGCTTAAAGTATGAGATTTTCATTATAAACAAAATTATTGTTGAAGGCAAATATTTTTTACAGAAATAATCTTCATAATATTCCCTACCAAACATCATCTGCTGGTATAAAATATCTTAGGTAGTTATATTTTATATGCGCATTTAATTTGACCGTTGCGTCAACGCAACACCAGCCGCTAATGGGTTAAAATCTTTTCCTTTGGGAACATAAACTTTTAAAAGGACTCTTGAAGAATTATGTTCTATCCTTGTGAAACAAAACAGAAATCAGAAAAAGAGTATATAAGACCGTTTTATTCAAACATAAAATTAACCATGACCTAACCTGGGCTACAAGAAGCGACTCACTTTTGGCTTATCAGAATAACGTAACAAATACTAATTTCAAGGTGTGGTAGATCAGCCTAAAAGGCTCACAGAATACTTAAACACGCAAGAAGCGCTCTAGTTTGTAGTAAACCGGCGAAACAAGCGTAATGGCTAACACTCAGACAAGCTAACACTCAACACCGCTAACATAAGTCGCTAATACCTAGAGCAAAACGTGGCTTGGAACAGGCAGACACGCTCTAAAAATAACTTCCGA